TGGGTGTTTTTCCATTTATCTTATGGCCAGTTGTATGTTTTCTTTTGAGAAATATTTATTTGGTTCCTTTGTCCATTTGTTAATTAAATCATTTTGTTATTATTAAGTATTTAAATTCTTTATATATTTTGGAGAGTAACCTCTTGTTAGATGTATGATCTGTTTTGTGTTACTACAGTGAAATACCAGAGGCAGCTAACTTACAAAGAAAAAAAGGTTTATTTAGGTCACAAAGAGATTCAAAGTCCAAAATCAGGCAGCCCCATTGATTTTTCTCCCATTTCATATATTGTATCTTTACTCTTGATTTTTTCCTTTACTGATCAGAAGGTTTTTAATTTCATTCAATGCAATTTATCTACTTTTGCTTTTGTCACCTGCATTTTTCTGGTCATATACAAAAAAAAAAATTATCACCCAGTCCAATGTCATAGACCTTTCCCCTTTTGTTTTCTTCTAGTGGTTTTATAATTTCAGGTCTTACATTTCAGCCCTTCTTCCATTTTTAGTTTATTCTTTGTATATGGAGTGAGATAAGGATTGAGTTTCATTCTGCAGCAAACAGATTTCCCAACACTGATTTATTCAAAGAGACTGGCCTTTCCCCAGGGTATATTCTTGGCATCTTGGTAAAAAAAGATAATTGACCAGAAATGGGTGGGTTTCTGGAGCTCCACTCTGTTCCACTGGTGTATGTACGCATTTCCATGCCATTATCATGCTGTACTGATTACTGTTGCTTTGTGGTATATTTTGAAATCAAACAGTGTGATGCCTCCAGATTTGTGGGGGAGTTTGGTTTTATTTTTTCACTAAGATGGCTTTGACTGAGGCTGGGGATGTGGCTCAAGCGGTAACGTGCTTGCCTGGTGTGCGTGGGGCACTGGGTTCGATCCTCAGCACCACATAAAAAAAATTTTAAAAATAAAGATGTTGGGTCCACCGAAAACTGAAAAGTAAATATTAAAAAAAAATAAGGAAAAAAAAAAGATGGTTTTGACTGTTCAGAGTCTTTTGTGGTTCCACAAAAATTTAAGGATTGTTTTTTCTTTTTTTGTGTGTGTGAAAAAAAAATGCCATTGGAATTTTAATGTCAATGCATTGAATTTGTAGAGCACTTTTGGCTATTGTGAATGTAGTATGGACATTTTAACAATATTAATTCTTCCAATCCATGAACATAGGATATGTTTTCATCTTATTTGTGTCCTCTTCATCAATGTTTTACAGTTTTCCATGTTTAAATCTTTCATCTCCTTTGTTAAATTTAGTCCTAAATAATCTATTTTATTTTAACTTGTGGATCTTATGAATAGGCTTGTTTTCTCGATTTCTTTTTTAGATGGTCTGTTGTTAGCACATAGAAATGGTACTGATTTTTTGTGAGTTGACTTTATATCCTGCAATTTTACTAAACACATTTATTAGTTCTAACAGTGTTTTGGGAAGTCTTTAGAGTTTTCTTTATCTAAGACCATGTTGTCTGAAAACAGGGACAAATCAACTTCTTCCTTTCCAATTTGGGTGCTCTTGAGTTCTTCCTTGTGTTAGTTAGCTTTGTAATGCTGTGACCAAAATACCTGTCAGGAACAAGGTAGAGGAGGAAAAGTTTATTTTGGCTTATGATTTCAGGGGTTCAGTTCATGGACAGCTGACACCACTACTCTGAGCCTGAGCGAGGAAGAACATCATGGTGTAGGGGTGTGGAGGATGAAATTGCTCAGCTCTTGGCAGCCAGGAATGAGGGGGGTAAGAAAAAAGCACCAGGGTTAAAATAATAAATCCCATCCCCAAAGACCTATTTCCTCCAGCGATGCCTCACCTCTCTACTGTCACTAACCAATTTATCCAAATTATTCATTTATCAAATGGATTAACCCACCAAATGAATTAATCCATTAATTAATTAGGTTAGAACTTTCATAATTTCATCATTTTACTTCTGAACATTCCTACATTAATAGGAGCTTTGGGGGATACCACATAGCTAAACCGTCACATTTCTCTTGTTTAATTGTTCTGGCTAGGACTTCTGGTACTACGTTGAATAGAAGTCGCAAGACTGAATGTTCTTGTCGTCTTTTTTGATATTAGAGGAAAAGATTCACTGTTATGACTGCTGAGTATGTTAGTTGTGGAATAATATATAAGGCCTTTATTTTGTAGAAGTACATTCCTTTAAACCTAACTTGTTGATAGTTCTTATCATGAAAGAATGTTGAATTTTGTTAAATGCTTTTTCTGCATCTATTGAGGTGATCATATGATTTTTTTCCTTTATTCTGTCAATGGAATGATTTATATACATGAACCATCCTTGCATTCCAGGAATAAATTCCACTTGATTTTGGAAAATGACTCTTTTTATTACTGTTAAGTTTGGTTTATTAATATTTGTTGAAGATTTTTACATTTATGATCATCAGGGATATTGGCCTGTAATTTTCTTTTCCTATAGTATCCTGGTCCAGCTATCAGGATAATGATACCTGGTCCAGGTGTCAGGATAATGTTTGCCTCATAAAATGAATTTGTTAATGTTCTCTCCTCTTCAATATTTTGGAAGTTTTAGGGCCATTATTAGTTCTTTAAATGTTTGATAGAATTCAGCAATGAAGACATCAGGCTCTGGGCTTTTATTTGATGGAAGATTTTTATTATTGATTCAACTTCCTTTCTCATTATTGATCTGTTCAGACTTATTTTTTCATTTTTCAGTCTTGGTAAGTTGTTGGTTCTAGGAATTTCCCTAGTTTTTCTAGGTTATTCAATTTATTGGCAGGTAATTTTTTACAGTGGTCATATTTCTTTGCATTTCAGGGTATTACCATAATGTCTTATCTTTCATTTCTGATTTTTATTTATTTGAGTCCTCTCTTTTTTCTTAGTCTAACTAAAAGATTTGTTAATTTTTTTAAAAAATTCGTAATTTCATTGATTTTTTTCCCTATTGTTTTTTCAGTCTACTTCATTTATTTCTGTTCTGATGTTTATTATTTTCTTCTACTATTTTGGATCTAGTTCATCCTTTTTCTAGTTTCTTAAGATCTAACATTAGGTTATTTATTTGAGATTTACTTGTTGATATGTTTCTGGCTACGAATTATACTTTTAGAATTGCTTTTGCTGCATCTCATAAGTTTTGTTATATTGTGCTTTCATTTTCATTTGTCTCAAGAAATTTTAAAATTTCACCTTTAATTGATTATTTGGCCTATGCTCATTCTTGTTGCTTATCTACATATTTGTGAATTTTCCAAATTTTTTTTCCTACCAATTTCTAATTTTATACCATTGTGGTGTGGAAAAATGTTTAATATTATTTCAGTCTTCTTAAATTTGATAAAACGTTTAATATTTCTTTTGTGATCTAACACATGATTTATTCTGGAGAGTGTTCTGGTTGAGAAGATAAGCATGCTGCTGCTGTTGGAAGGAATGTTGTGTATATTTCTGTTAGACCTGTTCGCTCTAACATGTAGTTCAAATCCAGTGTTTTCTTATTGACATTATGTCTTGATGATCTATCCATTATTGACAGTGGGATATTGAAACCCCCTATGAATATCTTACTGAAGTTCATTTCCCCCTTTAGATCTTTTAGTATTTGCTTTATACAATTTTCTCCAATATTGAGTGCATATATACTTGCAATTGTTTTATTTTCTTGATTGATTGATGCCCTATATCATTATGTAATGAACTTCTTTGTCTCTTTACAGTTTTTGGCTTAAAGTCCATTTTATCTGATGTAAAAATAGCTATCACTGCTCTACGTTGGCTTCCATTGGCATGGAAGGTATTTTCCCATATATTCTTTCTCAATCTATGAGTCCTTAAAGACAAATTGAGTCTCCTATAGGTGGTTGCTATAGTTTGGTTCTGGACTGTCCCCCAAAGGCACATATGTTAATAGCTTGGTCCTCAGTTTGGTGTTCTTGGGAGGTGGCAGAACCTTTAGAAAGTGGGGTCTAGTGGAAGGAAGTTCTGTCATTGGGAGCATGACTTTGAAGGGTACATGGGGACCCTGATCCCTTGCTGTCACTCTCCATCCTGCACTTCTACCATTGTGTATTATGCAGCCATGGGCCCCAAAAAACAACAGGACTAAGTAACCATCCATGGACTAAAAACTTGAGCCCAAAGAAACCTTTCCTCCAAATAAGTTTATTATTTCAGGTTATTTTGTTACAGTGATGCAAAGCTGAATAACACAGCAGCACACAGTTGAGTCTTATTTTTTAATCCACACAGTTATTCCATGGATTTTGATGGGAGAATTTAATCCATTTACAATCAAGATAATTAAAACTTACTACAACCATTTGGTTGTTTTCTGTTTGCTTTGTAGATCCCTTGTTACTTTGTAACCTTTCTTGCTATCTTCCTTTGTGTTTCGTTTGTTTTCTGTGCTGGGATGATTAGGTTTTCTTGCTTTTCATCTTTGGTAATATGTACTATAGGTTTTTGTTTTGTGGTGAACATGAGGCACGTTTGGAACATCTCATGGTTTCAACAGGCTACTTTTAAGCTGATAACAACTCTGCATTTAAAAACTATACTTTTGCTCTCCTGTACATTTTCTGTTGTTGATATCCCTGTACCTTTTTATATTGTATGTCCCTTGAATTATCATAGTTATTATTATTTTTAATAGTTTTGTCTTTTAGTCTTCATACTAAAGATATATATGTGATTTACAACTCACCGTGACGGTGTTGGCATCTTCTGGATTTCACTACATATTTTTACCAGTGGGGTTTAGACTTTTATGTGTGTTCATGTGGTTAATTGGCTCCCTTTAGTTCAACTTGAAGAGCTCCCTTTGGTGTTTCTTACAAGGCTGGTTCCGTGGCCGTGAACTCCCTCCGTTTTTGTATATCTGGGTAAATCCCTATCTCTTCTTCATTTCTGAAGGACAACTTTGCCGGGCACAGTATTCCTTATTGACGGTATTTTTCTTCTTTCAGTACTTTCAATATATCATCCCACTGTCTCCTAAAAATGTGGAACATTTGATGAACTTTCATGTTACCCTCGAGCAGGGGCTAGGCTATCTTCTCCTTAACCTTCAAACTTCAGTGCATGTGCCGCCAAAGCAAGCACTAGCATTTCTTATAATCACATCACCCGATGGCTTATTATTTCACCTTTTGTTTGTCTAAAAATATCTTTTTTTTTTCATCTTCTTTTTTGAATGGTGTTTTCACTTGATACAGAATTTTAGGTTGACAGGTTTTCTTTTTTCTTTTAGTATTTTAATAATGTTGTCTTCTGGTTTTATTTATTTATTTGTTTGTTCAGATGAGGAATATATCCGACCGCTTTTCATATCTTCTGTTCATTTGTGTTTTTCGGGAATTTAAGTTCGGTGTGACTAGACGTGATTTTATTTGTATTTATTTTGGAAGTATGTTGACATTTTCTTGATCTGTTTGGGACGGGGGAATGTTGCTGGTTAAATTTTGAAACTATTTGACCAATATTACTTCAAATCTTTTTCTGACCCATTCTCTTGCTCCTCTCCTTCTGGAGCTCTAGTTGGTCTTTTTCATAAATATTTGATACTGTCTCAAAAACCCCTGAGGCTGCTCACTGTTTTCAACCTTTCTCTCCTTTATACTTCCATTAAAAGGATTTCTACTGATCTCTCCTCCAGTTCACTGATCTTGACTTCTTTCTGCAAACCACCATATTTTCTGATGATTTTTTTTTTGCATTTCAGATATATATTTTTTTAGTTCTAGAATTTCTCTTTGGTTTGTTGGTTTGTTTTTCCCCTCAGTACTAGTTTTCTTCTCAAGTTCCTCATCTCTTCGTACATGAAGTACATTTATCATAGTCATTTTAAAATTTCTTCTCTTGGCTCATTCAGACTGCTGTAACAAAAACTGGGAGGCTTATAGGAAACAGAAATTTATTTCTCACCATCCTGGAGGCTGAGAGGTCTAAGACCATGTGCGGCAGCTATGGTATTTTTTGAGGGCCTGCTCCCTCATCAACAGTGACTTTTTAACTGTGTCCTCACATGGTGGAAGGGGACAGTCACCTGTCTGGGATCTCTTTTATAAGGACACTAGTCTCATTCATAAGGTCTCTGCTCCCACCTCTCTCTGGCCTACCTTCTAACACCATCACATCGGTATTGAGTTTCAACACGGGAAGTTTAAGGTGGCACAAGCATTCAGATCACAGTGATTCCCTTCTGCTGATTTCATTACCTGGTGCGTTAGTCACTTAGTTTTTGTTAGCTGATTTTCCTCTTCACTGGGTTACATTTTTCTGTCTCTTCCTATATCTGGCAGCTAAAATAAATTCTATTATTCTTTGAGATCTCTGCATTCTGTTGTCTTTATGAAGAGCATTAAGGTGTTTGCATCTTTGTTTAGTAGGGAAAGTAAATTATCACCAGACGCTCTTAACCTTAGAGGGGCTTGGTTTTAGGCTTTGTTAGAGCAAGTCTGTTTTGATTTTCCCTTCTATCCTTGGGTAAATCCCTTCATCTTGGAATGTGTTATTTAATCCTGGGATGTGGTTCCTCTAGAGTTTCAATGCATAGCTTGAGGGCCTTCACAGGGCCTTCTGATTCTATGGGACTCGGACTTTGAACTCTGCCTCAATAATGGGAAGCTACTGAGTCCTCTGCTCAGGGTTTGCCTCTCTTCTGAGTTCCAGCTGGTGCTTTTCCCATAGGCTCCTTGGAGTCTCACCCCATATCTTCAGGGTTTGGGTATCAGCCCGATACACAGATGCAGAAGCTCCTTCATTTCTGGGTTTTTGCCCCTTCAATTTCCAACCATTCTCAGGGGCCCAGCCTTATCATCTGACTCCTCAATACAGCTGGGCTTCTTGCTTCACCTGTGTCTCAAGCACCCTATTGCACTGCATGGACTGGGGCCAGCCCTTGAAAAGCTGGATTAAAATGGATCTCAGTCATCGTGGTTCTCTTTTATCAAGGTCAATCCCTTTCAGTTCTGCCTGATGTTGATAATTTTCCAGTACCTTCAAACCATTATTTTTTTTTCTCTTTTGTCAAGAGTTTATAATTAGTATCAATAGGAACATTTTATAATTCAAGCTACTCTTCTTTTGTCCTAAGATGGAGATTTCCTGGTTTACCAGTTTTCAAACAAAGATTGTTTTCTGCTCTATGAGGTTTCTCCCCTCTCTGTGTGAAAATTAAATAGGAATGTATATTAGTCATTCTTGCGTTGCTATATCAAAGTACCTGAGCCTTGGTAACTTAAAAAAGTAAAGAGATTTATTTGGCTCAAGACCTAACTGCAGGGCACAAACAGCGTGGCACCAGCATCCTAGTGAAGGCCCCTGGCTGTTACAACATGGTGGAGAAACAGAAAAGGAACGGCTGTGTGTGGAGGAGACCAAGCACATGGGGTGGGCTCTCAAGGTACTAGTTTAGACCCCTGAAGTCTAGAACTCCCATGAAATATTAGTCCATTTGTGAGGGTGGTGCAGTTACTGACTTCATCTCTTAAAGGTTAAAGATCTTATCTTCTAAAGGGAGGGGACCAGGAAGGGTCGCTACCTTCTAAGTGACTGATGGAGAGACCGGTACCCCCTTCCCTGGATTATCCTGGTGGTAAGGAAGAGGGGGAAAGGGCTGCTGGTGAGACCTGTGGTTTTCTTGAGTTACCAACAGCCATCGCACCTTCCTGTAGCAAATTCCTTTTTTCTTCCAAAGATCACCCAGCCTCATTTCCTCTGAGAAATCCATATTCTTCCTGTTTCCACAACTTTGACCCTAGTGTTGGTCAAATAGTGCTGATCTGATCATGCTCGGGCCATTTTCCTCCTTCCTGTGTCTCTCTGGCTAAAAGACTGGGATCAAATAATATATATCCCCTTAAATTTTCTCCTTCGTCCCCAAATTGGGGGGGGGGAGGGCCAGGCCAAGGGGAATAGTAGTGGTTTGTTTATTCTCCAAACGAGAGAAAGCTCTAGCAAAGGGTCACGATTCCTTTATAAAGGCCTTTCACCAAGCGAGTGAGGCCATCATAAAATTTATAACCCAAAGCAATCCACTTGGGAGAGTGAAAGGGGACTCTGCTGATAACTGTAATGGATTCAAACTCTGAACTCTGGAAACTGGAATGTATATAGATAACATTGTGCTTTTGGGTGTCGTTGACTGATTTCTCATAAACATTCCTGATATTTTAGGGGGAAAAATATTAATCAACCAAATCACCAGATACCTAAGGGGAAACCTTTTTTTACTCCTCTATGGAGACTTTCCTTTCTCAGGATTTTGGTGGGGGACTTGCCCCCACTGATGCTCGGGGCTCAGAGAGGGTTGCCTGTGCAGAGCCAGCAGGGAAAAGGACCAATGTGGTCACTTTTGTCAGAAGCATTCAGCTGTGAAGGCCAAGACTTGAGCTCAGATCACCTTCTCCAAAGTCAAGGACTCTCTGCCCCTCATTGAGCTGCGTCCTGCCTGGCTAATATCTGTTTACTCACAAAGGCCCTGCAAAAGGTCACTGCCTTCCCGCAGAGGTGCTGGTTTGCATGTAATGGAGCTTCAAAGTGACCCTCCTCTCCTCTATTTCAATTCAGCCCCAGTCCCACCCGAAGCCTTAGTCCCAAGCAGAATATTTCAGACATAGACTTATTATATTCATCTTGCTCTTTTCTGAACAAGTGCACCTTCCCATACTGTTAGTCCTTCTTTATGATCCTTTCTGTCTGATGAGATATTACTCATTTTTTCAAGTCTCTGCTTAAATATCATGGGCTCCATGAAGACTTTTCTGATACCCCTCCCCTCCACAATGGCTTCAGGTGTCAGAATCAATTAGGATTTGGTTCTGCTCATTTGATTTTCAAGACACATGGCAGTTGTTCAAACTATTTGCCTCTCACATGGACATCAGAAGGTCAGTTGTCCAAGGCTGGTATGGTGGCTTTCTTCATGCCACCAGGGATTCAAGTGCCTGTCTTTCTGTCTTATCGTCCTCAGAATGTGGCTTTCTTTTCAATGTCATGTTCAAGGTAGCTGCTAGGCTATGGATGTATGTCCATATGACAGCTGAAGACGAAATTGTAGGAAAACAAAAAGAAGTTTTTGTAGGTGTTAGGTTTCTTTTGTGTTAATGCTGCAAATTACAGGAAAAGATTGTCCCCTATGTTAAACCAACCTTGAATTCCTGAAAACAGTCCACCTTGGTCAAAATGTATTCTGGATGCCACTTCCTAATGCTTTCGGATTTTTAAGAATGATTTTTGCACCTGTGACATTCATGAGTGAAAAGACTGTCATTTTATTTTCTTACACTGTTTTATCAGGTTTTGATGTCATGAGAATGCTAACTTCATAAAACTGAAGGAGCTCCTCTTTCTTTTTGACACTTTGGAATCATGACACAAAATTGGAATTATTTGTTCTCATGAATGTTTGGTAGAATCCACTGATAAAACCTTCTGTACCTGGACTTTTCTATATGAGAAGAATTAGCTATTAATTCAAGCTCCTTTAATCATAGTCCTATAATCACAGAATTATCTGGTTCTCCTATTTCTTCTTGATAAGTTATATTTTCTAGGAGTATGTTCATTGTATCATTTTGTTTCACAAAAGATAACATCTTGAGTTCTTTCTTCCAGGTCACTGATTCTCTCTGCATCTACATTTACTCAGCAGCTATAGTCATTTATTAATCCATCTAGTTATAAGTTATCTCTATTTCAATAATTATTTTTTGTGATTTCCTCTTTTTTTAAAATCTGGTTGTTCTTTTGATGTTTTTGGACATTTCACAGCTTTTTTGAGATATAAGAGACACACAATAGATAACAATAAATGGTACATTTTTGGCATATAATTTGATAAATTTTGACCTATATTTGTATACTTGTGAAACTATTGTCACAATCAAGAAAATGAATATGTACATCATTCCCCCCAAATTCCTTTGTTCCTTCCGCAACCTTTCTGATCTTCCTTACCCACCTTTTCTCCCAAGCAACCACTCACTACCTACTGCAAAATTCTAAAAATTTTCATTTCATAAAATTTCAACAAAAGCAACCTTTTGTTGCTTAGGTTCTTTCACTCATTATTGTGATATTCATTTATATTCTTACATTCT